GGGAGACTATCCGACTTTTTTGGAACGTGTTATAACGTACTGTTTTTTCTTTTCTAGAAGGGAGAGTTGCATATGTGGTGTGGCTGACTCGCCATTGGATGCGTTTCATATTATTGCTGTTTGTAGTTTTTTGTCAAAATTACGTGAGGACACATTTGGGGTTCCCTGTTTTTCATTTAATCAGTTTAAAAAAGTTATTTCTGATTTTGATTTATTTTTTAAGACTTAAAGCGCAAGTCGTGATTATTTATGTAAATTTTGTCTTGGGGCGTGGTCTGCCTATTACTGTATTTAATCCTGTGGTTGTTTGGACTGCTTGGGAGACTATCCGACTTTTTTGGAACGTGTTATAACGTACTGTTTTTTCTTTTCTAGGTAAGTTTTGTTTATAAATATGTCCCAGGCTCGGAAGCGGAAGACATTTTCTCCAACCGTTCCGGAAAGAGCAACAGCTAGGTTTAGGGGTGAGACTTCTGCTGGTGAAGAGGATATTGCGAATTTATTACAGGATTCTAATTTTGATGTGGCAGAGGGAGTTAGGCTTCTATTGCGATTGCATGTCTCGTTGAATGGTAAGGTGGATGAATTTATTAGAAGACTGGATCACTTGACAGAGTGGCTCAAGAATGTAGATGAGGCGTTGATTGATTTTGAGGTGAGGTTGGGGGAGGTTGAAGCAAAGGTTGGAGGGGATGTGATCGGTGTCGGACATTCGGGGGATATGGATAAAATTCTTACGAAATTGTCCTTTTTTGAGAGGGAACTGGATGCGATGGACAATCAGAGAAGGATGAACAATGTGGTTATTCACGGATTGGAAGAGAGGAAAGAGGAGTCGTCTCTGGAAATATTTGATACTGTTAGTTCTTTTGCGGTTAATACTTTGAATTTATCCGCGTTACATTTTGTAAATGTGCATCGGATTGGGAAAAGAATTGGAGATAAACCTAGACCAGTGATTTGTCAATTTGGGTCTTTTAGTGATAAATTAAAATTTAAAAAGGCTGTATTTGAAAATCGGAATCTTAATGTTGCTGTGTATGATGATTTTTCTAAACGTTTAAGGGATATTAGATACAACCTAAGGATTTTTGGAAAGAAAAAAAGGGAAGGAGCAAGGAATGTTCGGTTAAGCTATGATAAGTTATTGGTAGATGGAATTTAAAGGAGCACATGTATGACATTAGTAAAGGGAACAACAACACTATCTTGGCAATCACGGCACAATCGGACGGAGCAAATCTTAAGTGGGACGATGCAAGGATAGTTAGATCGGTCCATTCTCCGACTATCGCGTTTGGCATAGAAAAAATGCAGACACATAAGAGTAAAATAAATAACAATTGCTTAAACGCAAAAGATGCTAATGCTCTTCCAACGGCATGGAAATACTTGTTAGAAAAAGAAATGGGAATAAAAAACCCGTAAACTTACGGAGGATATATTTTACTAGTTTAATGTATATTTTTTGTTATACTCTTGGTTTTATTATTTTCTATATATGTTACTAATATTTCTTCTTCTTTCAGGTACGGACGGATAATTGCGGGCCTAGGAAGTCGTCCGACGGGTCCGGCTTATAATCGGGCAACCGCCGAAACTTACATTTTGTGGCAATTACGAACCCGAAGCCCCGTCCACCAATCGGTGGATAGGGCTTTGGGTGCGCGATTTAATGGGAAGGACAAAACCAACGAACGTTACCCGAAATAGCCTCCCCGGCGGAAAGATCTTAACGCCAGAATAAGTGTATTTTGCCCGTCGGTTTTGTCTCCTCCCGGGAAAGATTAAGAAAAACATCGGAAAGTATCGAAGTACCGTACGGTACGTACCGGAGGCACGAACGGATGCCTAGAACCGTAGGAAAATCTTTCCGTTTAGGCCATATTTGTAATTATAGTAGAATATAATCGTCGACCTTATTACGGCCGTAAAAAGTAATTACCACCGGCGGAGTCTGGGCCAAGTCCGAAATATTCCGCCCCTCTTCCGGCTAAAGCTTAGTTCACGGCGAGCGAATAGCGAAAGCGAGTTTTATTCGCTTAGCGAAATCGACCCATACGACCGAATGCGAAAAGCCATCGCAAATTTTAAGGAGCCAATCGTGCCAGCGAGAGAAACAAAATGGCCGCTTCCGATATTTCGTCGTTAATCGCGCGTTTATTTATTGAGGAAAAGATAAATCGATGCCGCGTGAGGGGAATATTAAAAATCCGTATTTGCAACATTTACTCTATTGCGTGAGAAAGTTTCTGTAGCCATGGCCAAAACAACGACAACCGCGCGACAACTAGCGGAAATACGATTGGTGGCGAAAAAGCTCGACCGTTCCGAACTTGGAAGCGATTCGCCGGAAACGACGTCAAGTGTGACGCGTTATTCGTTTTCGCCAGCGAATCGCCGCCGCCGCCAAAGGTTTTCTCTCCTTTATGTAAATACAATAAATCGTTTAAGCAAATGCCCCGAGCGCGGATGGGCGGGAAAGATTTCGGAAATCGGCCGCACCTATGCCTCGGAAATCGCTTTCTCCGTATTTTTACGCAAGTGACGAACGTCCGAAATACGAAAACCGCGTTGTAGGCAATTTTTAAAGGCAGCCGCGGATTTATCGGAGGAAAGAAGGAGACACACACTCGGATTTAAGACAATTGTATTTTACACAAATGGAGCGCGTTACACGGCAACGCGTGTTGGGACGCGGAAACCGATTCCGTCCTCTCCGTACGCCGACGCGTCTGGCGGACCTTCCCAAAAACCGGAGAAGCCACGGGCGGCGCCCGCCGCCTCTTCCGGCGGAAAACCCGGCCCCGCCCGCCGCGGGTGGAGGTCCGACCGAGCGGAAAGGAAGGGAAGACGGGAGGTGGCGCCTTTCCCGCCCGGCGGGCCGTAATTCGCTATAAAAAGACGCGTCCGGGTCCGACCGGATCGTCCTGCCGCCGTCCGAAGTCGGGGAGCCCGTCCGGCCTCCGACGTCCTTCCTCCGGGGATCACCTACAAAGACAAGTGACCAGCGGTTAGTCGGCTTATAACGGTCCGCAAACGCCGAACTGGACGGCGCGACTTTAATTCCGTTATATAAAACTTGGGGACCGCGCCCGCCGCCCGGTGGGTAAGGGTCGAGTTATAAACTCCGTAAAAAAAGTTTGGATCGATCAGACTTTTACGGTAGGGATACGAAGAATTGACCAACTGCGCGTGCGCTAAGTCGCCATCAGTCGATGTACAATCGGAAGTCGTGCCGGAAGCAACCGACGAAACTTTGACAAATTGATGGAAACGTAACTTTAGACCGACAATGCCGCTTCTTAATATAAAATTTTAAGAAAACAATTAATTTGCTCATAAAAAAATAATAAAATGAATAAATAATTATAGTGTTAGATGTAGCAATAACTACCGATGATTTTGCGCATGCTCACGATGGACTGCTTCGTAAACCGTAAAAATGTTTGTTTCGGAAAAGGCCTTACGGTAGTGTACAACTATTGCTATAGATATTCGGTGTAGCAAACATTTACGAATACGGATACGGTTACGTTACGGAGTTTATAACTCGCCTTGGCCAGGCCGTCGGGACCTTAATTAATGGAGACGTAGGAGCAAAAAAGTCGAAGGAACCGTATCCGTCAAATGTCGTCCTCGGCGGGATACGGTCCCGAAATCGGCTCGAAGCCCACTTCTGTCACCTATGTCCTTGGCGCGTTTAAGTCGAGAAGGCACCACCGGTGTCTTCAATAAAAAATAATAAACGCCTCGACTTCTACCCACCGAAAACGGTCTTTACCTCCAACCGGTACTACGACGTATTATCCCCGCACGGCCTCGTCCGGGCCGATCGTCCCACCTCTTAACACTATACGACGTCGAGTGGGTAACCGGAAGCCGACGTAGTCGCCGGGGCTAAATACTTAAAACGCCGTAGTCTAGGCGGAGCCGGCGGCTGCTGCCGATTTCGGGGACCGGATCTGGCCCATTGACATTTTTGCTCCCGCGGCTCCGTTAATTTAAGGTCCCGACGGCGTCGTCGACACTCGCAGTCGTACCCCCGGCGGGGTTTAAGCGTTCGGCGTAAATGCGCCGCGGTCCGTAACGCCGCATTTTCGGTTTATTTCCGTCCGGGACGAACGGAGAATCCCACACCCGGGTTCGACCGACGTCCGAGAACGGGACCGAAATTCCCAGCCCGCCTCCGACGAAGGAGTAAAAAAAGGCGAAAGTTACCGGAAATTGCGCGGAGGACGCCGGTAATAAAGTTAATTGAGTCGGAAATAAAACACGAAGAGAAGTTATAAAGGAAAGACTTTAATCTGGGTTTTTATAAAACTTGAACGGTTGGATGACCGCGCCGTCTTTACCGGATAATTCGCCCCCTTCGGTCGACCGGAGATAAAACCGCCGCCGCGGCGGAAGTCGTCTTTCGATCCGCGCGCGCGCGGAACCAATTAAAATGCGCGGGCGCGGGATTAAAAGGTGGACTTTAGGCGTGAGAAGAAAAGTTTAAACCGCGCGGAGGAAAAACAAAAGACAGAAATAAATATACAACCTTGTGGCCTTTCACCTATTCCTGTGTTTCTCTCTGGACTTCTTACCAGACTCTTCGCTCTCGGAACTGGCCGACCCGCTGGTCCTCCTCCTCTTGGGCGAGCGAGATCGACTGGCCGAACCGCCGCGTCGGTACCCGTACTTGGACGATTTCTTGGACTTCTTGGAGGCTCTGGACCTGCCGGAGCCGCTGGAAGGCGAGCTGCTGCCCTCTCTTCGGGACTTTTTGGACCCGCCGGTCCCGCGCCCGCCGCCCTCTCTGCCGGCGGAGCCGCTCCGACCGCGTTTGTACCTGGCGCGCCACCTACTGCCCGAACCGGCCTTGCCGTCGCGGCCGCTGCTGCCGTCCCTGCTGCCGCTACGCCTCTTGCCGTCCCTGCTGCGGCTGCGCCCGCTTCTCTTCCTGCCGCCGCTCCTTCCGCCGCCGTCGTTTCTTCGTCCCTCGCCCTCCCTCTTGCCCTCCCCGTCCCTGCCGCGGCCGGTCTTGCCCTCCCGACTGCCGTCCCTCTTTTTAGCTCGGCAGTCGTCGCGGCTCCTCCTGCGGCGTCGTCCCGCCCTGGCCTCTTTCTTCTTGACGCGCTTCCTGGCGCGGCAGCCGTCGGCCGACGAGCTGCTGGCGCTGTCCTCCTCAGAGTCCGTGCTGCTCTCGGAGCTTTTGCCGGCTCTGGCCGCCTCCGGGGCCGCCCGCACCCGAGTCTCTCGGGCCGCCGCCGCTTCCGACTTGGCTTCCTTGCCGGACTGTTTGCCCTCGGCCTCCGACTTGTCCGCCTCGGCGCCGGCACACACCGAGCCGCACTTCTCCTCCTCTTTCTTCTCCTTTCTGCTTCTGTCCGTCGGTTTGCTCTCTAAAACGAGAAAACAGCCGTTAATCCGCCGAACTTTCCTCCCGCCGCCGCCATTTTAAAAAAGCCTTCCGTGTGGGCAGCCGTTGGATTATTAAATAGCCTACTAGAATTTTATCGTCATTTTACCAACATTATTTTTCCTATTTTTTTCCTACATTTATTCCAGGTATTCAAAATATATTCTGTACACGGCGCTGCGCAATCACCGGGCTAAAATATAAATTGTCCCAATACTCCGCGGCCACAGAACTCGACCCTTTTTTTAAAATGACGACGACGTAAAAGTACTCAAGAATTAGTTTATCTTTTGCCAAAGTCGATGCGTTTGTTAAATAATTTTTCAGAAAAAATTGCCCGACAGTCGTGGTCATAAATTTCGCATTTACGGATGTCAAAAAGTTCCGTTCCCCCAACGCTGTAACGCCCGAATAGGATCCAGTCACCCTTAAAAAGTCCTAAGTGTTGCGTTGCCAAACAAAGTCAGTCAATTATTAGCCCGTACTAATAATAGGTCGTTGGTGTAACGGCGACGAGTTTAATTTTATTTCTATTAATCGACGTATGACGTGGCGTTTATAATCGCGTACGCCACGCCGGGGGCGGCCCACGTGGCATAAAATACGAATAAATATATCAAATACTGTACCTAGCTGAAAAATTCAAACGTTATTTTCTGCAACTTACGTGTGTGAATCGTTTTCCTGCAATTCACATACATTCCAGTTATTCTCAAAAGAAGAGATATCTTGGGTAATATCGAACTTTAAACGAGGGAAAGCCCCGGGACATCGTCTAATTACAATAGAAATTGTAAAACAAATCGATACGAGTTTCGAGAAGGACGTTCGGCGGAAGATGCTATATAAAAAGTAATTAAAGATATCGAAGAAGGGAGGAAACATAGGGTGGACAATTTGCTCTCAAGTCTTGATATAGAAGGTGCTTTTGATAACACACGGTGGACACTAATCCATGCTAAATTAGAGTAGGCAAATTTTCCAAACAATTTGTATCGTCTCGTATGTGATTATCTAACAAACAGAAAAGCATACGTAGAATATGCAAACAAAAATGGAAAAAAACACGACTATGGGGTGTCCACAGGGATCCTGTCCTGGACCCATTTTTTGGTTAATTATATTAAACGATCTCTTGAAAATCAATACATTATCGGAATCAAAAATAACGGCATTTACTGACGATCTGTTAGGCAAAAAGCAGAAAACAAATAGAAATAAAATGTAAGAATATACTGGATAAAATAGAGACGTGGGGAAATGCAAACACAGTTAAATTTAATCCAGAGAAGACAAACGCCACAGACTTTACAACACGCAAAGTGGCAAACGGGAAACCCACAATTAAAATGCAAAATAAATCGATTAAATGCGTAAACCAAATTAACTATTTAGAAGTAACAATAGATAACAAACTTTTCTGGAATGCACACCTAGAAACAATTAAGAAAAAAGTGGGTAACCTATTTCAAAAAATAGCGAAAATATGAAGAACGGAAAGAATGGAGTATAGGTGGTAGGGCTTTAACACACATTTATAAAGGTGCTGTAATCCCAATTGTCACATATGCTGCCCAAATTTTGGGGAAGACGATGGAGTCGACACACACGAAACAAAAAATAGTCTACAAAAAGATTAACCGGATAAGCCGAAGGAAGAAAAATATAAAAATTACTATTTGTACAGACACCAGGCTGTACTAAAAGCTCTTAACCACGGTAACGATAAAAGCCAACTAATAGATAATACGAGACGAAATATTGCGAAAAGTGATAATATAGTCGTGTTCGGCCGGGTCAAAGCCCATTTCGGAGACCGAGGAAATGGAAGAGCGGACAGTCTGGCTAAAGAGGCTAATTATCTAAAAACAAAGGAATCATACGGAAAAATATCCACAAAATACATAAAAACTGAAATCGGTGGCAACGACCATGGGAAATAACTACGAAAGGAAGGGAACTCATTGAATACATACCAGATATTAACCAGAGGTTAAACAACAAAACATCTACAAATTGGACACAAATTTACAAGATTCGTGACGGGACACGGACATTTTGCGATACACCATTATAGATTTAATCATCGACACGATAAAAATTTGTGGGGTAAGCGACGTACACGTCTTATTTAACCGTACGCGATATGAAAAAATAAGAAACGAACTAAAATTAGTTTATAATAAAGAAAGTTACAATTGGCCTATTAGGAAAAGTAGCCTTATAAATAATGTTAGCGTATATTATTATTATTTCAATAAATTTATAAAAGCGGAACATAAAAATCTCTCTCATAGATCATTGTCGAACTAATGATATCAAATACCTTACTCGACGAAACAACATAATTAATGTAAATAAAAATAGAATTGTCGGGTATCACAGAATCGCGACTACGACCGCGACTATGTAATCGTAACTGCCCGCCAAGCGGGGTTAATTAAAAGAGGCAGTAGCATTTAATGCTACGGGTCGGAGGGAGTGCTCCACTAAATGTAATGTATGTTTTTCCGCAATGAATTTAGTAAAAATTAAAGCCAGAAACCAACTAACAGACCGGTCCAAACTAATTTAAAACTAGCAGTGGCTAATACTTAACAAAATTTTTCCGATATATTACATTTACCTGGGTTCCAGAAGCTAAATTATGTAAGNTAGTAACGCGCAAGAAAAGTAAAAGAAAAATTTAATAACGGTATTCAATTCAAGATGATATTGCTTTATTTTAAAAAGCAATATTTTATCTCCTTGGCTTTGTTTTTCTTAATGTAAAATACTTTCCAAATGATTTTTAAATATCTAGCACAGAGTGAAATACTAATCCATTTATTAAGTAAATTTATTAAACCGTATTTAAAAAACTATGGAAAATTATACAGCGATTTAAACGATGTCACAAATTGAAATTAAAACTGCTGGTATCTCGCATTAATTAGTAGACCGTGGTTAGGTGCGCAGCCTTACTGTCGCGAAGTTAGGCGCTAGGGGAACTATAGTCTCTGTTTCAAAAATCAATTTTTCAAGTCAGTTTCTTTCGCGATCTTTTCATATCAGATGTTTGTGGGGGTGTTTTTTTGGTGTATTAATCAACAAAACTACTTTAAATATGTCGTTTTGATTTATTACTAACGAAAAACAGAAAGTCTCCCGTTTTTAGGAATTTTTCAAAAAAAAATTGTCAACTTCAAAAGTGTATTTTACAAACTGTAAACAAGTCTGATGCTATCTAAGCTCTCAATCGCTTTCCCGTATGTTTTTTAACTGCCACAACAGTTAAATTCTTTGTACCAAACCCTGGGCCAAAAATATTTCCAAAAATACACCATCTAAAATCATACAGCAACTAGAGGTAAAAATGGGGATTATTGGCAGATAACATCGATAGTAAACTTCTTTTACGCTGTAATTGGTTACTTTATATGTCTGTTATTAGATCCACCTATAAAAGCAATTGCGGGAAAAATTTCCGCGAAATGCCACGCCCCCGCAGGCTACCACATCGAAGTATGTAAACAATCGCTATAAAATAGCGTGTTTTAATCGTTTTTTCACTTTAATTTCCCGCGCGCCTAACCGTAAGTAATGGCGAAACGTCGTCGCGCGGTAGACGATCGGCCAACGAAACGTTAATATTCAAAACATGCGCTATAATTTTATATTTTAAAATAAAACTTGGAAAAGATCTATTAAGCGCGGGCAGACTCCTAGATTTTCCGGTAGACGGGTGTGGCCGAGTCTAGTGGAAAAACTGCGTAAATCCGGGACGATCCAACGAATTTATTCAAAATTTAAGACTTCCGTAGTTCTGGCGGCAGACACTAAACATTTTAAATTTCATACAAATCGATCGGTCGGTCTGGGAGATAATAACGATTAAATTTGACACTTCAACATCAAACGCGTGGCCGAGCTCTACGATATGTTTATTACAACGAAAAAGTAGTCGTAATCGATTTAAAGTTTGTTTCGACACTCGTTGTTCTTCGGGCTTCTTTCCAATGTAATTTAATAACCTGGAAAAATTTTGGCGGCTCGCGGGTCGAAAATCGCCGGTTTGGCCGATATTCGACTAGACGCGAATCCTTTGCGTTTATATTTGATTGAACTAAAACGCTTTTAAGTACGTAAGGTAGGTACTGTACATATATTTTCCGTTAATACGTATCGTTAAAACGAAGGATTTTGACCGTAAGTCACTTTAAAAATTATAATCTTTTATTACTCGAAACCGAAGCGTATCGGTAATGGACATTTCGATAATTTACGCAATAAAAGCGGACGTACGAATTAAACAAGCTACGTTTTATAAGGGTTAAAGTCGATCTCATCGGTAATAAGCCACGTCGTCTACTTATCGCCTATTAACAGAAAATAATACGTACGATTTTCAAATTAAAAGTATCGTTTGGCTTTTTTTACCGCCGACCGTTACACGGTATAAAAAATTACCAAGTGTTTAGAAATATACGATTAGTTTTCAATGTTTAACTAAATGAATCCTAATTTTGAATGGAGGGATGGCGTTTAATGCAATAGCATTTCTATCCAACCGTGCGAATCGGCGATTATTGTTAAATAATAATTCCGCGGCCGCGACGATTATTCGGCCAGAAGGGACGAAACAGCCGACCGACCGGTGGAGGGGCCTCCCAGGCGTAAACGGGACCGAACGAACTTCCCGAAGGACGATTCGAGTCCGGTATTCACGCGCGCCAACGGACGACGAAACGGCAAAAATTAGACCAATAGCAAGGCCGTTTAGCAACGTCGTCGTAAAGATAACGTTCGAACTTCGACGGTGGACCAGCTAAAAAGCTTTATTTGTACGCTAATACGCTATATTACCATCCGATTTATATATTAATGTCAAATAGACGTACTTACCGCGTAAAGTATTGGGAATCGTAATTCGGCGTGGGAGTATTGGATATTCCTAACTTTCGACGATTTAGAATATTTTTCCTATCCAAATTATTCGTTTTTCGGATTTTTAATTTGCCGTAAGATCGAAGGCAAACTTAAAGTAATCGATGCGACGAAGCAATCCCGGTAGACGCCATTTTCGACTACTGTCACGCGGCCTACTTTCTGTAGTAGTTCGTTCATATTTACGGCTGGCAGATGGCGCGTTTCGATCGTAGGAGTACACGCCACGCGGAAAGATGGAACGGCAACCGTTTCCGCACGCGATTACCGGGCTTAATCCGAAAACCGTTGGCTACCGACGTGTCGAAGGCGTCACGCGGTACCATCTCACACTCCGACGTCAAATCGGTAGTCTGGGGAGACTATCCGACTTTCTTTGGAGCGTGTTATAACGTACTGTTTTTTTCTTTTCTAGGTAAGTTTTGTTTATAAATATGTCCCAGGCTCGGAAGCGGAAGACATTTTCTCCAACCGTTCCGGAAAGAGCAACAGCTAGGTTTAGAGGTGAGACTTCTGCTGGTGAAGAGGATATCGCGAATTTATTACAGGATTCAAATTTTGATGTGGCAGAGGGAGTTAGGCTTCTATTGCGATTGCGTGTCTCGTTGAATGGTAAGGTGGATGAATTTATTAGAAGACTGGATCACTTGACAGAGTGGCTCAAGAATGTAGATGAGGCGTTGATTGATTTCGAGGTGAGGTTGGAGGAAGTTGAGGCAAAGGTTGGAGGGGATGTGATCGGTGTCGGACATTCGGGGGGATATGGATAAAATTTTTACGAAATTGTCCTTTTTTGAGAGGGAACTGGATGCGATGGACAATCAGAGAAGGATGAACAATGTTGTTATTCACGGATTGGAAGAGAGGAAAGAGTCGTCTCTGGAAATATTTGATACTGTTAGTTCTTTTGCGGTTAATACTTTGAATTTATCCGCGTTACATTTTGTAAATGTGCATCGGATTGGGAAGAGGATTGGAGATAAACCCAGACCAGTGATTTGTCAATTTGGGTGTTTTAGAGATAAATTAAGATTTAAAAAGGCTGTATTTGAAAATCGGAATCTTAATGTTGCTGTGTATGATGATTTTTCTAAACGTTTAAGGGATATTAGATACAACCTAAGGATTTTTGGAAAGAAAAAAAGGGAAGGAGCAAGGAATGTTCGGTTAAGCTATGATAAGTTATTGGTAGATGGAATTTAAAGGAGCACATGTATGACATTAGTAAAGGGAACAACAACACTATCTTGGCAATCACGGCACAATCGGACGGAGCAAATCTTAAGTGGGACGATGCAAGGATAGTTAGATCGGTCCATTCTCCGACTATCGCGTTTGGCATAGAAAAAATGCAGACACATAAGAGTAAAATAAATAACAATTGCTTAAACGCAAAAGATGCTAATGCTCTTCCAACGGCATGGAAATACTTGTTAGAAAAAGAAATGGGAATAAAAAACCCGTAAACTTACGGAGGATATATTTTACTAGTTTAATGTATATTTTTTGTTATACTCTTGGTTTTATTATTTTCTATATATGTTACTAATATTTCTTCTTCTTTCAGGTACGGACGGATAATTGCGGGCCTAGGAAGTCGTCCGACGGGTCCGGCTTATAATCGGGCAACCGCCGAAACTTACATTTTGTGGCAATTACGAACCCGAAGCCCCGTCCACCAATCGGTGGATAGGGCTTTGGGTGCGCGATTTAATGGGAAGGACAAAACCAACGAACGTTACCCGAAATAGCCTCCCCGGCGGAAAGATCTTAACGCCAGAATAAGTGTATTTTGCCCGTCGGTTTTGTCTCCTCCCGGGAAAGATTAAGAAAAACATCGGAAAGTATCGAAGTACCGTACGGTACGTACCGGAGGCACGAACGGATGCCTAGAACCGTAGGAAAATCTTTCCGTTTAGGCCATATTTGTAATTATAGTAGAATATAATCGTCGACCTTATTACGGCCGTAAAAGATAATTACCACCGGCGGAGTCTGAGCCCGGTCCGAAATATTCCGCCCCTCTTCCGGCTAAAGCTTAGTTCGCACCGAGAGAATAGCGAAAGCGAATGAGAAAAGCGAGTTTTATTCGCTTAGCGAAATTGACCCATACGACCAAATGCGAAAAACCATTGCGAATTTTAAGGAGCCAATCACGCAAGCGAGAGAAACAAAATGGCCGCTTCCGATATTTCGTCTTTAATCACGTCTTTATTTATTCAGATAGACAGATAAAACGATGCGTATTTACATTTACTCTATTGCGTGAGAAAGTTTCTGTAGCCGTCTGGAAAACAACAACCACGTGACAACTAGCGGGAAAACGATTGGTGTCGAAAAAGCTCGACCGTTCCGAACTTCGAAGCGATTGGCCGGAAACGACACGTCTGACGCGTTATTCGTTTTCGCACGAGAATCGCAATCAGTGCGAACTAAGCTTAAATAAAGCCGGCCTCGGCATCCTTGGCCGTACAGACGGTCCCGCCCGCCGCCTCCGCCAAAAGTTTTCTTTCCTTTACGTAAATAAAATAAATCGCTAAAACAAATGCCCCGAGCGCGGATGGGCGGGAAAAATTTCGGAAATCGGCCGCACCTACGCCTTGGANAAATTTAGAGCAAGCGAGAGGTTGCGAGCGATTTAGTTTTCGCAAAGGAAAACCATGCACAAACGAGAAGCGAGAAATAACGCTGGCGAGAGCGAATTTCTGGTTCTCGCACATATCTGACAGGTTTTGATATTTATCGCGTCTGGCCTCTTCTCGCCACATATTCTCGCTCGCTCGCGTCTGCATAGTCGCACCCTAAGTCTACCAACCAATTTTCAATGAGTATTAGCATAGAGACAAGACAGTAACCCCACTTTTAGACTGGCATATCTTCGCATTCTCAGCAAATATTCTAATGGATGCAGAATATGAAGATGAGATTCCAGACATTTAAGTTATTCATTTCTAACAGTGATAAATAATAATACTAAACTATGATGAAAATCAACGTTGGGAAGGCAAGACTGCAATCCATTAGATGAACTAATTAGATCCACTTGATGGAAGATGTTTGTGCGCTAAGAAAAGCAACTGCTGATGTTATACTTTCCCATAACTTCCAAGAGCCAGGATCTACGCTTTGGCAAAAATGGCATTAATCCTGTACTGGTATGTCCAATCTCAGTAAAATTAGCATTACCATCTGAAAACATTACACACTTACTTTCAAACTCTTTTGGATATTAACTGTGTAATCTGTGCATCTCACCGAATATTTTGTGAAATACTTGTTTTTCTTTCTTTTCTACATTTCCCATTAAATTCATTAAAAACACCTTATTTGTATTTTTGAGTTTACTGCAAAACTTTAGAGTAACAAGGTATTTACTACAGTCTGTTCGTTTATTTTCCATTCTCTTAAGGCACTTCTGTTTATATATGCGTGTGCGCAATAGGTGTACATAAAACTAATTTCATATATAGTAAAATATATAAAATATGTACATAAAATTTAGAAATAATCAAAGGTCACACTGATGGTCCAAACTAATTTAAAACTAGCAGTGGCTAATACTTAACAAAATTTTTCCGATATATTACATTTACCTGGGTTCCAGAAGCTAAATTATGTAAGTATACCTGTACTAATTTATAATTATACACGAATAAATAATTGCGATTTATCGACATTTTTGAACCGATGCTCTTTTATAGCCCATTCTCGAGTTTTTATTAAAAAAAAGAGCATCCAATATGTATAGCTCGCTACGGAACGATAAAGTAGGCTTAAAAAAGGAAGAGAAAGCTGGGGTATATAAAATACCATTTGAAAATCAACAGTTAGGAATGGAAAAAGATTATGTGGGCGTGACTAGAAGAAATCTGGTGGTACGTCTACGAGAACATAGATACGACGTTGACAAAGGACACAATATCAGCGATTACGGCGCAGACTAAAGGAGCTGTTGTAAAATAGGAAGAGGCTAAAGTCATTAAAACGGTGCTCTCTCCATTTATTGTGCTGGAGATGGAAAAGGTAGAAATTTATAAAAATAAAATGAAAAACCGTTGCCGAAATGCTAGGGATGCTAATGCGCTTCCAACAGCGTGGAAATATATAATAAAGAATGGGAGTTAAAAATATATTAGGCAGGTTGAAAAGGTTTGTAAAAATAAAAGAATTTTAAGCTCGGCAAAATTAGGTGTTGGTGAAACTTCAGTTTTATTTCCCACTTTTTTCTCAGTAATTTATCTTTCGGAAATGTGCGCGTATTTACTGCGTTTGATGAACCTTTAGACTTACATGCAAATACACAACAATGCTTATTAGTTATCATTGTAGTTGAACGCTTTCTCATTTAACAGACCACAGACTTTACACCCATACCAGCGGCTAATACCGCTAGGTGCAAGATCTATCGTTGGCACAAGCGAATAATGTTTCCATTTCGCATTTAAAACACGTGGTTTCCCTGCATTTTGCCAAATATTCCCAATTGGCATATTCTGAACCCCTGGTGATACCTTCTTAAAACAGATAAACGACCGATACGTCTATTTCAAAGAAGTTTTTAATTATTATAAAAGAATGAAGATATTGTTTCAAATAAAGTTTATTTTAGTTTTTACTGTCTAAGCCTGTTGCGANTTACAGGATTCAAATTTTGATGTGGCAGAGGGAGTTAGGCTTCTATTGCGATTGCGTGTCTCGTTGAATGGTAAGGTGGATGAATTTATTAGAAGACTGGATCACTTGACAGAGTGGCTCAAGAATGTAGATGAGGCGTTGATTGATTTCGAGGTGAGGTTGGAGGAAGTTGAGGCAAAGGTTGGAGGGGATGTGATCGGTGTCGGACATTCGGGGGGATATGGATAAAATTTTTACGAAATTGTCCTTTTTTGAGAGGGAACTGGATGCGATGGACAATCAGAGAAGGATGAACAATGTGGTTATTCACGGATTGGAAGAGAGGAAAGAGGAGTCGTCTCTGGAAATATTTGATACTGTTAGTTCTTTTGCGGTTAATACTTTGAATTTATCCGCGTTACATTTTGTAAATGTGCATCGGATTGGGAAGAGGATTGGAGATAAACCTAGACCAGTGATTTGTCAATTTGGGTGTTTTAGTGATAAATTAAGATTTAAAAAGGCTGTATTTGAAAATCGGAATCTTAATGTTGCTGTGTATGATGATTTTTCTAAACGTTTAAGGGATATTAGATACAACCTAAGGATTTTTGGAAAGAAAAAAAAGGGAGGAAGGAGCAAGAAATGTTCGGTTAAGCTATGATAAGTTATTGGTAGATGGAATTTAAAGGAGCACATGTATGACATTAGTAAAGGGAACAACAACACTATCTTGGCAATCACGGCACAATCGGACGGAGCAAATCTTAAGTGGGACGATGCAAGGATAGTTAGATCGGTCCATTCTCCGACTATCGCGTTTGGCATAGAAAAAATGCAGACACATAAGAGTAAAATAAATAACAATTGCTTAAACGCAAAAGATGCTAATGCTCTTCCAACGGCATGGAAATACTTGTTAGAAAAAGAAATGGGAATAAAAAACCCGTAAACTTACGGAGGATATATTTTACTAGTTTAATGTATATTTTTTGTTATACTCTTGGTTTTATTATTTTCTATATATGTTACTAATATTTCTTCTTCTTTCAGGTACGGACGGATAATTGCGGGCCTAGGAAGTCGTCCGACGGGTCCGGCTTATAATCGGGCAACCGCCGAAACTTACATTTTGTGGCAATTACGAACCCGAAGCCCCGTCCACCAATCGGTGGATAGGGCTTTGGGTGCGCGATTTAATGGGAAGGACAAAACCAACGAACGTTACCCGAAATAGCCTCCCCGGCGGAAAGATCTTAACGCCAGAATAAGTGTATTTTGCCCGTCGGTTTTGTCTCCTCCCGGGAAAGATTAAGAAAAACATCGGAAAGTATCGAAGTACCGTACGGTACGTACCGGAGGCACGAACGGATGCCTAGAACCGTAGGAAAATCTTTCCGTTTAGGCCATATTTGTAATTATAGTAGAATATAATCGTCGACCTTATTACGGCCGTAAAAAGTAATTACCACCGGCGGAGTCTGGGCCAAGTCCGAAATATTCCGCCCCTCTTCCGGCTAAAGCTTAGTTCACGGCGAGCGAATAGCGAAAGCGAGTTTTATTCGCTTAGCGAAATCGACCCATACGACCGAATGCGAAAAGCCATCGCAAATTTTAAGGAGCCAATCGTGCCAGCGAGAGAAACAAAATGGCCGCTTCCGATATTTCGTCGTTAATCGCGCGTTTATTTATTGAGGAAAAGATAAATCGATGCCGCGTGAGGGGAATATTAAAAATCCGTATTTGCAACATTTACTCTATTGCGTGAGAAAGTTTCTGTAGCCATGGCCAAAACAACGACAACCGCGCGACAACTAGCGGAAATACGATTGGTGGCGAAAAAGCTCGACCGTTCCGAACTTGGAAGCGATTCGCCGGAAACGACGTCAAGTGTGACGCGTTATTCGTTTTCGCCAGCGAATCGCCGCCGCCGCCAAAGGTTTTCTCTCCTTTATGTAAATACAATAAATCGTTTAAGCAAATGCCCCGAGCGCGGATGGGCGGGAAAGATTTCGGAAATCGGCCGCACCTATGCCTCGGAAATCGCTTTCTCCGTATTTTTACGCAAGTGACGAACGTCCGAAATACGAAAACCGCGTTGTAGGCAATTTTTAAAGGCAGCCGCGGATTTATCGGAGGAAAGAAGGAGACACACACTCGGATTTAAGACAATTGTATTTTACACAAATGGAGCGCGTTACACGGCAACGCGTGTTGGGACGCGGAAACCGATTCCGTCCTCTCCGTACGCCGACGCGTCTGGCGGACCTTCCCAAAAACCGGAGAAGCCACGGGCGGCGCCCGCCGCCTCTTCCGGCGGAAAACCCGGCCCCGCCCGCCGCGGGTGGAGGTCCGACCGAGCGGAAAGGAAGGGAAGACGGGAGGTGGCGCCTTTCCCGCCCGGCGGGCCGTAATTCGCTATAAAAAGACGCGTCCGGGTCCGACCGGATCGTCCTGCCGCCGTCCGAAGTCGGGGAGCCCGTCCGGCCTCCGACGTCCTTCCTCCGGGGATCACCTACAAAGACAAGTGACCAGCGGTTAGTCGGCTTATAACGGTCCGCAAACGCCGAACTGGACGGCGCGACTTTAATTCCGTTATATAAAACTTGGGGACCGCGCCCGCCGCCCGGTGGGTAAGGGTCGAGTTATAAACTCCGTAAAAAAAGTTTGGATCGATCAGACTTTTACGGTAGGGATACGAAGAATTGACCAACTGCGCGTGCGCTAAGTCGCCATCAGTCGATGTACAATCGGAAGTCGTGCCGGAAGCAACCGACGAAACTTTGACAAATTGATGGAAACGTAACTTTAGACCGACAATGCCGCTTCTTAATATAAAATTTTAAGAAAACAATTAATTTGCTCATAAAAAAATAATAAAATGAATAAATAATTATAGTGTTAGATGTAGCAATAACTACCGATGATTTTGCGCATGCTCACGATGGACTGCTTCGTAAACCGTAAAAATGTTTGTTTCGGAAAAGGCCTTACGGTAGTGTACAACTATTGCTATAGATATTCGGTGTAGCAAACATTTACGAATACGGATACGGTTACGTTACGGAGTTTATAACTCGCCTTGGCCAGGCCGTCGGGACCTTAATTAATGGAGACGTAGGAGCAAAAAAGTCGAAGGAACCGTATCCGTCAAATGTCGTCCTCGGCGGGATACGGTCCCGAAATCGGCTCGAAGCCCACTTCTGTCACCTATGTCCTTGGCGCGTTTAAGTCGAGAAGGCACCACCGGTGTCTTCAATAAAAAATAATAAACGCCTCGACTTCTACCCACCGAAAACGGTCTTTACCTCCAACCGGTACTACGACGTATTATCCCCGCACGGCCTCGTCCGGGCCGATCGTCCCACCTCTTAACACTATACGACGTCGAGTGGGTAACCGGAAGCCGACGTAGTCGCCGGGGCTAAATACTTAAAACGCCGTAGTCTAGGCGGAGCCGGCGGCTGCTGCCGATTTCGGGGACCGGATCTGGCCCATTGACATTTTTGCTCCCGCGGCTCCGTTAATTTAAGGTCCCGACGGCGTCGTCGACACTCGCAGTCGTACCCCCGGCGGGGTTTAAGCGTTCGGCGTAAATGCGCCGCGGTCCGTAACGCCGCATTTTCGGTTTATTTCCGTCCGGGACGAACGGAGAATCCCACACCCGGGTTCGACCGACGTCCGAGAACGGGACCGAAATTCCCAGCCCGCCTCCGACGAAGGAGTAAAAAAAGGCGAAAGTTACCGGAAATTGCGCGGAGGACGCCGGTAATAAAGTTAATTGAGTCGGAAATAAAACACGAAGAGAAGTTATAAAGGAAAGACTTTAATCTGGGTTTTTATAAAACTTGAACGGTTGGATGACCGCGCCGTCTTTACCGGATAATTCGCCCCCTTCGGTCGACCGGAGATAAAACCGCCGCCGCGGCGGAAGTCGTCTTTCGATCCGCGCGCGCGCGGAACCAATTAAAATGCGCGGGCGCGGGATTAAAAGGTGGACTTTAGGCGTGAGAAGAAAAGTTTAAACCGCGCGGAGGAAAAACAAAAGACAGAAATAAATATACAACCTTGTGGCCTTTCACCTATTCCTGTGTTTCTCTCTGGACTTCTTACCAGACTCTTCGCTCTCGGAACTGGCCGACCCGCTGGTCCTCCTCCTCTTGGGCGAGCGAGATCGACTGGCCGAACCGCCGCGTCGGTACCCGTACTTGGACGATTTCTTGGACTTCTTGGAGGCCCTGGACCTGCCGGAGCCGCTGGAAGGCGAGCTGCTGCCCTCTCTTCGGGACTTTTTGGACCCGCCGGTCCCGCGCCCGCCGCCCTCTCTGCCGGCGGAGCCGCTCCGACCGCGTTTGTACCTGGAGCTCCACCTACCGCCCGAACCGGCCTTGCCGTCCCGGCCGCTGCTGCCGTCCCTGCTGCCGCTACGCCTCTTGCCGTCCCTGCTGCGGCTGCGCCCGCTTCTCTTCCTGCCGCCGCTCCTTCCGCCGCCGTCGTTTCTTCGTCCCTCGCCCTCCCTCTTGCCCTCCCCGTCCCTGCCGCGGCCGGTCTTGCCCTCCCGACTGCCGTCCCTCTTTTTAGCTCGGCAGTCGTCGCGGCTCCTCCTGCGGCGTCGTCCCGCCCTGGCCTCCTTCTTCTTGACGCGCTTCCTGGCGCGGCAGCCGTCGGCCGACGAGCTGCTGGCGCTGTCCTCCTCAGAGTCCGTGCTGCTCTCGGAGCTTTTGCCGGCTCTGGCCGCCTCCGGGGCCGCCCGCACCCGAGTCTCTCGGGCCGCCGCCGCTTCCGACTTGGCTTCCTTGCCGGACTGTTTGCCCTCGGCCTCCGACTTGTCCGCCTCGGCGCCGGCACACACCGAGCCGCACTTCTCCTCCTCTTTCTTCTCCTTTCTGCTTCTGTCCGTCGGTTTGCTCTCTAAAACGAGAAAACAGCCGTTAATCCGCCGAACTTTCCTCCCGCCGCCGCCATTTTAAAAAAGCCTTCCGTGTGGGCAGCCGTTGGATTATTAAATAGCCTACTAGAATTTTATCGTCATTTTACCAACATTATTTTTCCTATTTTTTTCCTACATTTATTCCAGGTATTCAAAATATATTCTGTACACGGCGCTGCGCAATCACCGGGCTAAAATATAAATTGTCCCAATACTCCGCGGCCACAGAACTCGACCCTTTTTTTAAAATGACGACGACGTAAAAGTACTCAAGAATTAGTTTATCTTTTGCCAAAGTCGATGCGTTTGTTAAATAATTTTTCAGAAAAAATTGCCCGACAGTCGTGGTCATAAATTTCGCATTTACGGATGTCAAAAAGTTCCGTTCCCCCAACGCTGTAACGCCCGAATAGGATCCAGTCACCCTTAAAAAGTCCTAAGTGTTGCGTTGCCAAACAAAGTCAGTCAATTATTAGCCCGTACTAATAATAGGTCGTTGGTGTAACGGCGACGAGTTTAATTTTATTTCTATTAATCGACGTATGACGTGGCGTTTATAATCGCGTACGCCACGCCGGGGGCGGCCCACGTGGCATAAAATACGAATAAATATATCAAATACTGTACCTAGCTGAAAAATTCAAACGTTATTTTCTGCAACTTACGTGTGTGAATCGTTTTCCTGCAATTCACATACATTCCAGTTATTCTCAAAAGAAGAGATATCTTGGGTAATATCGAACTTTAAACGAGGGAAAGCCCCGGGACATCGTCTAATTACAATAGAAATTGTAAAACAAATCGATACGAGTTTCGAGAAGGACGTTCGGCGGAAGATGCTATATAAAAAGTAATTAAAGATATCGAAGAAGGGAGGAAACATAGGGTGGACAATTTGCTCTCAAGTCTTGATATAGAAGGTGCTTTTGATAACACACGGTGGACACTAATCCATGCTAAATTAGAGTAGGCAAATTTTCCAAACAATTTGTATCGTCTCGTATGTGATTATCTAACAAACAGAAAAGCATACGTAGAATATGCAAACAAAAATGGAAAAAAACACGACTATGGGGTGTCCACAGGGATCCTGTCCTGGACCCATTTTTTGGTTAATTATATTAAACGATCTCTTGAAAATCAATACATTATCGGAATCAAAAATAACGGCATTTACTGACGATCTGTTAGGCAAAAAGCAGAAAACAAATAGAAATAAAATGTAAGAATATACTGGATAAAATAGAGACGTGGGGAAATGCAAACACAGTTAAATTTAATCCAGAGAAGACAAACGCCACAGACTTTACAACACGCAAAGTGGCAAACGGGAAACCCACAATTAAAATGCAAAATAAATCGATTAAATGCGTAAACCAAATTAACTATTTAGAAGTAACAATAGATAACAAACTTTTCTGGAATGCACACCTAGAAACAATTAAGAAAAAAGTGGGTAACCTATTTCAAAAAATAGCGAAAATATGAAGAACGGAAAGAATGGAGTATAGGTGGTAGGGCTTTAACACACATTTATAAAGGTGCTGTAATCCCAATTGTCACATATGCTGCCCAAATTTTGGGGAAGACGATGGAGTCGACACACACGAAACAAAAAATAGTCTACAAAAAGATTAACCGGATAAGCCGAAGGAAGAAAAATATAAAAATTACTATTTGTACAGACACCAGGCTGTACTAAAAGCTCTTAACCACGGTAACGATAAAAGCCAACTAATAGATAATACGAGACGAAATATTGCGAAAAGTGATAATATAGTCGTGTTCGGCCGGGTCAAAGCCCATTTCGGAGACCGAGGAAATGGAAGAGCGGACAGTCTGGCTAAAGAGGCTAATTATCTAAAAACAAAGGAATCATACGGAAAAATATCCACAAAATACATAAAAACTGAAATCGGTGGCAACGACCATGGGAAATAACTACGAAAGGAAGGGAACTCATTGAATACATACCAGATATTAACCAGAGGTTAAACAACAAAACATCTACAAATTGGACACAAATTTACAAGATTCGTGACGGGACACGGACATTTTGCGATACACCATTATAGATTTAATCATCGACACGATAAAAATTTGTGGGGTAAGCGACGTACACGTCTTATTTAACCGTACGCGATATGAAAAAATAAGAAACGAACTAAAATTAGTTTATAATAAAGAAAGTTACAATTGGCCTATTAGGAAAAGTAGCCTTATAAATAATGTTAGCGTATATTATTATTATTTCAATAAATTTATAAAAGCGGAACATAAAAATCTCTCTCATAGATCATTGTCGAACTAATGATATCAAATACCTTACTCGACGAAACAACATAATTAATGTAAATAAAAATAGAATTGTCGGGTATCACAGAATCGCGACTACGACCGCGACTATGTAATCGTAACTGCCCGCCAAGCGGGGTTAATTAAAAGAGGCAGTAGCATTTAATGCTACGGGTCGGAGGGAGTGCTCCACTAAATGTAATGTATGTTTTTCCGCAATGAATTTAGTAAAAATTAAAGCCAGAAACCAACTAACAGACCGGTCCAAACTAATTTAAAACTAGCAGTGGCTAATACTTAACAAAATTTTTCCGATATATTACATTTACCTGGGTTCCAGAAGCTAAATTATGTAAGTATACCTGTACTAATTTATAATTATACACGAATAAATAATTGCGATTTATCGACATTTTTGAACCGATGCTCTTTTATAGCCCATTCTCGAGTTTTTATTAAAAAAAAGAGCATCCAATATGTATAGCTCGCTACGGAACGATAAAGTAGGCTTAAAAAAGGAAGAGAAAGCTGGGGTATATAAAATACCATTTGAAAATCAACAGTTAGGAATGGAAAAAGATTATGTGGGCGTGACTAGAAGAAATCTGGTGGTACGTCTACGAGAACATAGATACGACGTTGACAAAGGACACAATATCAGCGATTACGGCGCAGACTAAAGGAGCTGTTGTAAAATAGGAAGAGGCTAAAGTCATTAAAACGGTGCTCTCTCCATTTATTGTGCTGGAGATGGAAAAGGTAGAAATTTATAAAAATAAAATGAAAAACCGTTGCCGAAATGCTAGGGATGCTAATGCGCTTCCAACAGCGTGGAAATATATAATAAAGAATGGGAGTTAAAAATATATTAGGCAGGTTGAAAAGGTTTGTAAAAATAAAAGAATTTTAAGCTCGGCAAAATTAGGTGTTGGTGAAACTTCAGTTTTATTTCCCACTTTTTTCTCAGTAATTTATCTTTCGGAAATGTGCGCGTATTTACTGCGTTTGATGAACCTTTAGACTTACATGCAAATACACAACAATGCTTATTAGTTATCATTGTAGTTGAACGCTTTCTCATTTAACAGACCACAGACTTTACACCCATACCAGCGGCTAATACCGCTAGGTGCAAGATCTATCGTTGGCACAAGCGAATAATGTTTCCATTTCGCATTTAAAACACGTGGTTTCCCTGCATTTTGCCAAATATTCCCAATTGGCATATTCTGAACCCCTGGTGATACCTTCTTAAAACAGATAAATGACCAATACGTCTATTTCAAAGAAGTTTTTAATTATTATAAAAGAATGAAGATATTGTTTCAAATAAAGTTTATTTTAGTTTTTACTGTCTAAGCCTGTTGCGATAAATATGTAAATAACTTTTGGTTTTGTTACTCTGAATGTATAATTCCTTAAACATTGCTCGCTCTCTTTCTGACTACAGGGTTTTCAGCCGAGTTCTCGAATTCTGTTGGTGCCCAGATAATTATTTACAAATGCACCGAAAATAAAATAAAAACTAATACGTTGTATCGTATTACCTCAAGATGCCAAGAGGTCCAATAAGTTAGATTAATGCCTAGGTCTCGTTGGTGGAATAAATGCAACAGAAAAACTGTTTAAACATCAATTCCATTTTCCTAAAACGTAAAATATGTTTTTTATGGTAAGCGAAGTTCAAATAACATCTATTATCGAAGCCATTGAATCAATGTCAAAATTCCACGATGGAAGAGTGCAATGGGTAGCAAATTATTTGTAGGTCGCGATTTCAATTTCTTCTCCTTTATGCATTTTTTAAAAATAAATATTGACAGATAAATAAGAAATTTCATTGTAAGCCATCAAAACCATACAAATCATTGCTGTCTCTGCCACATTTATATATCAATCTCACAGCTATCCACTCTGTTTTATTTTTTAACTTGATTTATGAAGTCTTTTAGTGCTATAGAAATGGAAAATTTGTTTTTCTGTTTCAATTTCCTTTCCTCAGTATTTTGTTGCAATGGAACAGTGGCTTCCAGTAAATCTTAAGAAAAACAACTGTCTTTGAATATTTGCCTTGTTCAATTTTTTGTTTGTTTTTTAGAAAACAATTTCCTAAAGCAATATCATCTTTGTAAGAATAAATTTATTTTAATAATTGTTACACTAAACTATTGAATAACTAAGATCTAATTAAGATCGGATTATCTGCCAAATTATCGGGCTATAACAAAGCTAATATAATAATTAGATACGAAGTAGGCAGTTTGGCCACCATCTAATGATAATTTTAACAATTATAATAAAATTATTTTTAATTTACAATTTTCTGAAAGAAAAGAACTAATGTCGTTGTGCCGATGCATTGCCAGTTACGCTATCTGCACTTTCGTCAATCTTAACTTCGTAAATTTAATAATAACTTAGCCCCAAAATTTAGCGGATTGCCCGGTTTTGATCAAAAGTAACGAGTTATTAGAGTTCTTCGTATATGTAACTAAAATATGTAACTTGGTGAAGTGATAACTAGATGAAACCTCTAGTTTTCCTTTAAGCTATATTCAAAGGCATTTTATATCGTAGTTAGAGTGTTTTTGTAAGTTGAATTTGCTACTTGACATTTATTGTTACAGCAACACTAACATTTGAATGAGCCATACCTGACAAATACATATGTAATGGTAGTTAGCCTTTAAGTCTACCAACCACTTTTCAATGAGTATTAGCACAGAGACAAGACAGTAACCCCACTTTTAGGTTGGCATATCTTTGCATTCTCAGCAAATATTCTAATGGATGCAGAATGAGAAGATGAGATTCCAGACATTTAAGTTATTCATTTCTAACAGTGATAAATAATAATACTAAACTATGATGAAAATCAATGTTGGGAAGGCAAGACTGCAATCCATTAGATGAACTAATTAGATCCACTTGATGGAAGATGTTTGAGCGCTAAGAAAAGCAACTGCTGATGTTATACTTTCCCTTAACTTCCAAGAGCCAGGATCTACGCTTTGGCAAAAATGGCATTAATCCTGTACTGGTATGTCCAATCTCAGTAAAATTAGCATACCATCTGAAAACATTAAATGCTTACTTTCAAACTTTTTGTTCTTTTGGATATTAATCGTGTAATCTGTGCATCTCACTGAATATTTTGTGAAATACTTGTTTCTTTCTTTTCTACATTTCCCATTAAATCCATTAAAAACACCTTATTTGTATTTTTGAGTTTACTGCAAAACTTTAGAGTAACAAGGTATTTACTACAGTCTGTTTGTTTAATTTCCATTCTCTTAAGGCACTTCTGTTTACATATGCATGTACTGTACATAAAACTAATTTCATATATAGTAAAGTATATAAAATATGTACATAAAACTTAGAAATAATCAAAGGTCACACTGATTTCAAATAAATGGGTAATCATTTAGTTTTCGCTTAACAACAGACACAAAAAATATGCAGATTTTCTAAATTAAGCCGGAATATTGTTCCAAAACTAAACACATGCTTCTGTTTCATTACATAATACAAAATGACCAAATGGAATTTATGGAAATCAAAATATCCAATAGATAAAATTTTCTATATAATACAGACCCTATTTAAATGTACAACTTAAAAAGTGGAAGTATTTAATCAAAAGTTTACTCACCTTCGTGTGACTTCTGTTTTTCTCTTTCCGCCGCTTCCTCTTTTTCTAGAGATGCAACGATCCACTTTTCTTTCTCCGCAAAGGTGCGTCGTTTCTCGTGTATTATGTGATGGAGTTCTTCGTCCGAGTCGGAACCCTCCTCGTCGGCCACGCTGTCGCTATCGGTTCCGTATCCGGCAAGTCCACCTACGTGATAGTTTCTTTCCACTAAATCTCTCCAGTTTAAGTATATAAAAATTTCATTTAAATGAAAATATTGACCACAGGTTACAACTTATCTTTTCCCAATTGCAATTTAACTATATCGAGTGTAAATAATATGTATGCAGACTTACGTAACCGAACGAAGAGTGTTTTCACCTACTCCATTTAAAACTTTAAAAGAAACCTAAATATTTCTTTTCCGTAAAAAAGACAATTTATAGCAAAGTAGTTTTTAACAAAGCCAAAGTAAATGTTATGATTATAGAAATTTGAAACCTGGACACGAAATGTATTGTGAAGTAAATGCATTTACATAATACAAATCAGACTGGCAAAATTAATTTATTAAGAAAAATGATCCAAATAGTATGATAATACATCTGAACAGAGTTGGTATTTTTCATATAAAAATAGATATTTCCAGAATTATATGAGAAGAGATGAAGTAAAGAAATGAAAATCTACATAAAGTAATTACTTTTTTCTGAAGTTGTGAACACCAATTTATCTGGTCGTAAAACTATAGTAATAACAGGACTGTTCTAAGAACTTGATATTTCAAGTTTTATTCTTTCTTCTCGGTCTACAGATTTTTTGATTCAAAATGAAAGTTCGCATCCAACATATTCCAGAAAGTTATAAACAGAAATTTCAGAATGGTCGATTTTGTGGCTAATATTTATTACCGTATTATGACAAAAAGTCTAAACTGAAGTCAAAAACAAATTTAATGAATGTTGAAAATTTTTAGAATTAAAATTTTATATATAATTGCAGGTCAGAACAATTGTAGCCAAACACTGCGTGTAATTTGTGACAATAAAGATTTTCTCACATTATATATAATTCAATTGATTCGACGTTTTCTATAAATCTATATTTAAAATGCTTTTCATAATTAGTAACCTGAAGTCAAACAAAATTATGTATAGTTTGGCACTGCTTAATGTTATATCCAATAAAAAATTTTATATAAAACATAGATGCTGAAATCTCAATTAAGTTAAAAGTTATTTTATAAAACTCTCTGCCATAAAAATTTCCAAAACAAAGTGAAAATACTATTTTGATAATTAAATTAGATTATAGTTAAGACAATTTTAAAATGATCACAGATATTTTAGGATAACTCAACAAAAAAAAACCACCCCCGCTCTTAAAATCAGTATAAATACTGAATGTATTATAATAAAACTGAATTTTGTGAAAAATCTTACAATAAAAATAATCTTTCACATTATTTTTAAATTGTACTTGAAATGAACTTTAACTTACCATACAGTCTGCTTGAAGTTTTTTAACACACTGTATTATTGAAGCATATTTATCCATTCGGTGATTAGTGCTCAAAAAATACATAATCTCCAAACATGGATACCGAAACAATAAAAACTTACAAAACATTAAAAAAAAAATCAAACTCAATACAAAATATGTTTGTTGACAAGTTACGCACGGATAGAATTGTCCAATTACCGTAAAACCTGGCGTGCGGCTACGTTTCTGATAAGCACGTAAACAATTACTGTCGCAATCCGACTGCACGCGTAGTAATGCTGCCGGAGTGTGGACATTTCTGCCAATTTTTCTTCACAGATGAAAATCGTATTATATTTCTAGAAGCACAAACAAGGTCTGTTGTTATTGATGAAAAATCAAATCTGACCAAGTCTCTTAAATTTATAAATAACTTCCAGCACAAACCTTTTATTTACCATGCATTTACTTTTATACATAAAATATCTGGCTTAAAACCACCACTACACTTTTTCCATCATAGGAAAAAAAGGAATGATGGCACTGGAAACCAATAAATCACCACAAAATTCTTGTTCTAAATAGTCTACACTGGAACCAAATGGAAGAATCCTGTGGGGAAAACAAGCTGAAGCAAGCAGAGGAATGAAAGGAAAACAGAGAGATATCAAATGAAAAAGCTGCCCCTGCAGAGTTGAGCAAAGAAAACAGGGGATCCAGCCACTTATCTACAAATTATTATTATTATTCACAAATTTGCCAATTTGTCATAATAAACCTATGAATGTTTTGTTCAAAAATTTATAATCAAATGTATTAAAAAACACTTGAAAATAAACAGTTACAACTGAAGAATGAAAGAACAAGTAGGGAAAGTCTGTAGGGAGAGTGAGTGGAGCAAGTAAGAGAGCAAACCCCATAATACCAAAATAAAATTAAAATCTATAAACATTTACTCATTCTAAACAAAAACATCAAACTAACTTTTCAGAATATTTTTGATTAATTCACCTATACACCTTTGACGACTTCATATGTCAGTATAAATTAATTATCCAAAATCTCAGAATGTATACAGAAGAGTTAAGTAATAAAATCTCTAAATGCCAAATATATTCATAGCAAATGATCATTACTCGTCTCCCACAGGTCAAAGATTATGTTCAAAAAATATTGTAAAATTACAATANTATGTCAGTATAAATTAATTATCCAAAATCTCAGAATGTATTCAGAAGAGTTAAGTAATAAAATCTCTAAATGCCAAATATATTCATAGCAAATGATCATTACTCGTCTCCCACAGGTCAAAGATTATGTTCAAAAAATATTGTAAAATTACAAATAATAACTTTTTCCAATCTCTAACTACTAAAAACTGTTGTTTATATACTAAACTAGCTGTTATCCGTGACTTCGTCTGCGCAGGTTTTGCAAGCAAACTCCATTTACATTCAATATTTCAATAACCATAGTAATTGTTATATAACACCTACCGCTGAAGAGAATTGCCGAGAATCAAACGAACTATTTTCAGTTTGATCAATTTTCTGGAACGTCTACAATCGTTCTATAATCGGACCAATACACAATAACAAATTCAAATTTAAAACGGTTTGAGCATTTTTAAAATCGAAATAGATAAAAATATTTATAAAGTCTGAAATGTTATCAATTTAATACACCTAAGTACTCAATGAAAACTAAGCGTAGTTGAAAACAAAAAAATCACATCTAAAATAGTACGGTAGAAGCCATTCTTCCGGTTAAGCCTTAATCCTCTCCCTCTCCCCCCACAGGGGAATTTCGAAAAATCCCTTCTTAGTGTGCATTTCCATGACGTACCCTAACTGTCTACCAAATTTCACCTCTTTAGGTTAAGCGGTTTGCTCTGGGCGATGATGAATCAGTGAGTGAGTCATTCAGTCAGTCAGTCAGGACAAGCAATTTTATATATTTAGATAATCTTTATCACCAACTTTATAGTTGGTGTTAAAGATAAAGACTTATAGCTTTTCTTTTCATCAAAAATTATTTTATAACAACTCTATTTGATTTGACCACCAGAATACCAGTAAAGATGATCTGTTGCAAGTATTTTTAGCATTCATTATGCTTTTTAAATAAAATAACTGCATTTTATCAGTTAATTACAATTCACATTTTATTTTTATAATTATTATTATAGACAAAAAGTAGATTTTCATCCATGATAAAATATTTGGTTTAACTTGTATTATGCAGATTAATGTCTCAAAAACTATCATATAATATTCTAAATTGAAGTTATAGTTTTTCAGATAAATGAAACTTATATTTATATAGAGGAACTGTGTTACACGAAGGAATCTATCTCACTTTGGCAAGCACCCCATCAGCATTTAAATTAGAACAATCGTGTGATGAACTACCAAGTAGCTTCATAGTAGATATCAACTTACACGAAACAAACTACAATATACAGTACAGTAATTCTCTCCAAATTATTTATTGTACATATTAATCATATAATAAATGATGTAAAAATTATTGTTCTTACATATGATTAAACTCAATAAGATACAAAAAATGGTTTAAAAGTGAAACTATATAGATCTTTTACATTGGTAATTTTTATCCAAATGGCCGTCCGTTTAACCAGAGTTTTCGGTAATACGGGGCGGCATCGACCCACGCCGTCTCGGATAATAGCAGTTCTGCTATATTTTCGTTCTTGTAATGTAGTCTTTGCTTATTTAAGAACAAATTTGCCAAATTATGTCTAGTAAATTGTAAGATCCTCAGTCCAATGGTAAAGAGGTAAATATAACAAATTCAGACTACCAGAAATTCTAAAGTTCATTGACATATTAACACAAATTTCACTGTTTTATAGCAAAAGCTTCCTACAATCATAGTATCACATCAACATTTTCTCATTTTTTTTTTGGAATATTCAATCTTGAGAAATTTCTTTCAATTAATTTGAGTATTTTGTTGGTGGTATGTTATGGTTTTTAATAATTTGCTTTTATCATATAATCGGATTTTAGAACATCAAATGATAGGGAAGATTTGATTTAACAAAGTTCTTTTGATATTTGTATCTCACAGAAAGCATAACATTTCAATAAATAGTTTTTAATTCATATGGATAACTAAAGAACATATTAAAAATAATTAATTTTAACATTAATAATAGTAGTAAAAGAGCCAGGACAATAACTTAATTATAGAGTATTTTTAACATTTTTACAATAAAAGACTGTTCTTGAGATTTGATATGAATAAAAAATGAAGAAAAACAAATTTGTGTGTTTTCTTAAATTATTTTCTTGTAGAAATTTTTAAATATAATTTTGTTTATGCATCAACTGTGGTTATTAGATGGCATGTCCAATAACTTAAACTCAAACAGATCTCTTCTTCACCCAGATACATCTGCCATTGTGTAAATGTGGCAAAAAAATTGTTCTTACTTGTTTCAACCAAAATAGTATATGATCATTAAGGAGGTAGGGCTTACTTATAAAGCATAAATATGGATATATTTGAAATGCCAATGTAAACTAATACTGTATGTACTAAAGATGAACACTACAAATACCTGAGATACCAGTGAAAAAATTAAACGTGAATTGCATACATTTTCGCCCGTGTTTAATGGGCATCTTCAGGCAAGCAATGCACGTACTGTTTAAGCTCTTCACATTCTAATTTCTGATGTAAATTGACATTGATATTTT